ACTTCCCCTCCGTTCACTTACCTCAGCCCTTGGCATTGAGGTAACAGCATAGCGTCGCACGGAGACGACTTGGGAGCGCGGAGGGAAAGTGGTGGGGAGAGCGAGTGGATTGTAAATGAAACACAGCTTGCCCTCGAGTCAGTAGTCATGTGGCAGCGTCGCGTTAATAGCGGCAATGACGTAAACTGCAATGCATTGTGGTGTGATATCCAACTCGAGTGACCATCGTTGTTCACTCCGAATCCTTCAGCCGCGTTTCCAAGGTCCAGTCTCGACCAGTTTCACTTCAGTGTTTGTACTGACGAGGATTGGACGGAGCGCGCGTCAGGTAGGCTAGCGCGTCTGCCGCTCTGAGTTGGAGTGGAGTAGAAGTCCAGTAGCTGACGGGCAGCTTCTTGCGCTTCACACTGCTGTTTTTCCATTCAGTTTTGATCCAACAAGCAACTTTATCTGTTTGTTTTTTATGTTTCAGGATCCGCAGGCAGAGACCAGAACCTGAACCCAGCTTGTGTTGTCCTTCAAGACGACAGGTTCGAAGGTTTTGTTTCATTGACTTTAGAAGACGACGTGCGCACCTGCTGATCAGAAGGAAATCTTTCTGTAAAATCTTTTATAAGGAGCTGCAGTGTAGACTGCTTCTGTATGATAACATGTCTGAGAGAACTTTGTTATGATTTTATTTATACAAATAAAGTTGAATTGAACTTGAATTAACTGCACAATAAGAGTCAATGTTATGCCAGAAAGAACTAGTTCCTGCAACGTCTCAGGCCGACCCCATGGAAGGTTGAAAGCTGTCCATCAGGAGACGTGTATTGTTTAAAGTTGGAGATAACAGAGCGCAGCCAGTCCTCTCAGAAGACCTTCATTGACTTCACGCTCTCAATAGCGGGCCTTGAGGACAATTCTCCCAGCTTCATTTTACACTGGGTGGAAACATTAAAAAACCTGCTCTGCAGAACCAATCCACCGGTCTTTAGGACAGCCTTCTATTGGGGCTGGTGACATGCAGAGTCATGTGTTTGTAACTACAGAGTATCTCTCCTTGAAGGAGAATATAAGGGGTGTTAGGTTTGTTAGCAGCTGTACTCTCTGCTGCTCAAGCAATTTCTTTTCATTTCCCGTTTAACTGGTGAGAAGCAGACTGGCGCACCCTCATTATCACGCTGAGGAAACAAGCACTAATACACTGGTGAAGGAAGGATAAGTAGACCAGGGTGAAACTAATCATTGTGTATCTGTGCTGGGGTTTTGTCGAGCAGCAGAGACCAAACCTGATACCCAGTGTCTTGTCGGTTAGTTTATTAGTCGCTGCAGGCAGCTGGGGGGTGTTCAAGTCCAGAGAGCTGCATTCTGCCTCTCCATCACCTCCGTCGCTGCTGCCTCCACTCTGGTCTGGAGGGTCTGCCGAGCCGGTCCGGACTGGGTTGGGGACGATCATGTGCTCCACGTGTCCAGTCTCCACAGGAACCAGTCTGAGTGGCGGGTGATCTGGGACTTCCTGGGTCTCTGCGGTGCTGCTGGACAGGAAACTGGTCTCTAGAGATTTCAGGACCTGCAGGCCGAAGTCCCCAACCTCCTCGTAGAGTGGCTCGGGGGGGTCCGGAGACTCCGAACGCTCTTCGAATGAGTCCTGCTGTACCTTCATGGGCTGAGAGAGAGAGAGATATCAATACTGCATCAATTCATTTTCCACTAGAAAATATAAAGTACAAAATACTCACAAAGTACATAGAGAGAGTCCTTCTGTCGTGTAACTTTCTCTGCAGAGAGAATCAAATATAAAGTCTGATGATGAATTGTTATGTTATGTTTTAATAAAGAACTGACATTTTTCATTTAATTTCATTTCATTTGAGTTTAATTTCTTCTCATCAGGATTAAAATTGAAAAGTATTCTACAATAAATGTTTCAAACTCAGTTTAAGACTTGAAGTCTGACCAGTGTCTGATTGGCCGTCAGCATGCTGCTGTTGCTCTCGTCTCCTCTGATGGGGACGAGCGGCATCGTGCCGAACTTCTGCTTGGAGATATCTGAGGAGGAGTGACGCCTGAGCACCGGAGGACCCGGGTCATCGTTCTGCAAGAGAACCACAAAAATACGAGAGTCAGAGAACCGAGCATGCTGGGAGTTTCTGTAAACATCAGAGAACCGAGCATGCTGGGAGTTTCTGTAAACATATGAATTATTACACAGGTCAATTCCTCCTAACAGAGCAGGATGAGTTCATCTGACCTGAGCCTTGAGGAAGCTGGTGATCCAGTCCCACAGTTCAGCCTCACAGCTACAACTCAGATACCTGCGAGAGAAGAAGAGACGTTACAGTCGAAACTCAGCTGACACTAACAGCTGTGACAGAGTTAATGGATGAGGACTTACAGCTGGTGTTTGTCTGACATCACTGTGAACCCCCATCTGCAGACAGATGACAGAAATAGATTATTAGTATTTATTAATAATAATTTATACAGCACTTTTCTTAACAATGTTACAAAGCTGAACAAAAGAACATTAAAGACAGATAAAATGAAAATACGGAACACAGAGGTAATAAAACAACAGAATGAGTAAGAACAAATAAACAGGAAAAAAAACATCCAAATAAAATACATCAAATATTTCCAATCAGTTTACCTGAACCAGACCTGAATGCCAACGTTTTCTGTTAGAAATCCTCAGTCTGCTGATTACTGATTACAACAATATAAGAGTGGTTTTGGGGGTTATTGGGGATTTTAAATTTGTTAAAATAATCAAGCCAAGAATAAATAAAAGCATTTACTACTTTTTGCAGATCAGCAGATATTAAAAATTACCTAGTTTTAGAGATTATGTTTAGCTGGAAGAAACAGGACCGAACACTCACATCTGTGACATGCTCAGATTACCCCAGGATTCCTACCAGCTTGGCTGCTACTAAGATTTGCACCAAAGGGGCTCATGGCATTAGGGGGACCAAACATTATGATCGCAGATTTATTAAAAAAATTAAATTTAAGAACATTTTGGGATATCCAGGATTTAATGTCACAGAAGTAAGTTGTGAGGTTTGTTTGGCTGCTGGGGCCCAAGAACTGAACCATGAGGGACACCACAGCTCAACTGAACCGTAAAGGTGGAAGAGTTACCCAGAACAACAGAGGAGGTTCTGTTGGAGAGGTAAGAAGACCATTGAAGTCTCCAGGCGATGTAACAGGATGCTGTGATCGACCGAAGGCAGCACTTTGATGTGTTAGTAATTTTAACAAGGGCTGTCTCTGTGCTCTAAAACCAGGACCTGCAGGTCAGCTGAGATCGGAGAGAATCATCTGAATAACTGTCATCAACAGAGAGATCACCTCTGACCTCTGACCACAGTTTAAACCCACAGGCTCCATTGAGAAAGAAACACTGTTTTCTGCTCCCTGATAAAATGAAATGATTACCAGAAGGTTTCTTCTGGTAGTAATCTTTCTAACTTGGCTCTCAGGGCTTCTGTAACACAGAGCTTCCTTCAAGGCAACAATTCAACAAAAGGTCAAATCAATCTAAAATCTGATATGTAAGTAAAACAGCTGGACTTGTCTTCTGTTTGAAACATGAGCTGGGAGGTGGATGTTTACCTGGTCGGAGCTTTCAGTTTCCTGCGGATGCCGATGTAGATCTTCATGGACTTTAGAGACCACTCCTTCTCCGGTTTGATGCTCTGAACAACAACACAGACCAGTCAGGAGACTGGAATATGAATATGGGTGTTTACTAGTTCACAGAGGAACCCAGTTCTCACTGAGTGTTACCTTCTTGTCTTTGAGCAGCAGCAGTTTGTGGTCTTTGATCTGGAACGTTCTTTCCTGAAACTTGTTTCCCTGAAGGAGCTTCGGAGGTTCCTCACGACATTTCAGCAGACCGATCTTCATGATCTCACTCTTATAGGCTGAAGGGACAGATGGGCAGACAGACAGACAGACAGACAGGCAGAAATTAGCTTCAGACACAGTGGGGATAAAGCAGTCAGGCTCAGTGGAGGAAGAATGACTCGTTCCTACAGGTGAGGATGTTAATGCCTTCTCCTTTAGGAACTCTCTTCACCACCAGGTAGGCCGAGCTCGGGTCGGCCATCTTGCACCACTGCAGAGCCTGCTCCAGGACCTTCTCTTTGGGGTGTAACGGACGCTCTGAAAAAACAACAGCGACTGTCAGGTAGAGAGTGAAATTTCCCAGGCACCCTGAACTCCTTAGTGCAGGCGTGTCACAGAGAAAGAGACAGGTGTGCAGGTGTTGTCTCACCCAGCTGTCCATCTTCGATGGCCTCAAACGTCATCCACACGTCTTTGTCTCCGGCCGGGACGTTCCTCATGTACAGAACCTGATTGGTCAGCTCTTCAGCGCACATAGTGGGAGACACCTGAAGGGTCAAATGTCATACAAACTGTCACACCTGAAAATACACTTCCTGCTTATCCCAGCATGCACTGGACGAGGCAGGTCAAAATCGACTAAGTCAATGAGCAATGGATTCATATTAATAGTATTTATGAATTAATATTAGTCGTATTAATGAACCGATATTCAGTCTGAAGACTTACTTTGAGAGTGATGCAGCAGTCTGGTATCTTCATCTCCAGATAGACTTCAATGATCAGATCCCCAGCCTGAGACAGCTGCACACAAAACCTCCATCAACACAACCTGAACAACTGCAGTACTGACTCACTCATTTATTAATAGCTTATTAACAACTTATTTGCAGAAGGCAAAGATGGCACAG